CCATAGAGACTAAATTAGCAGTGGTCCAGCTATTTACATTGTATTGATAATGAAAATGCAAATCATAGTAGAATTAACTATTTTGCATTGTGAGTGATCTAATACATATTCATACAAAGTAGTTTTAAGGAACTGTGTATAAACAAAAGGTCAGCTGTTGGCTTTACTACTTCACTAGATGTTTGTATACAATATTAAATGGAAATTTAAATTATCAATATCTTTGAAATAACTATTGCTCAAGCAATTAATGTTTAATGGGGTGGCCATGTTTGCCCTTCTAGCATTGACAGGACTCTGCATTACATAATGACAATGAACCATTTTAATTTCCCAGGTTTTTTAATATTCTATTTATGTTTCCCTATTTAAAAAAATGCATTTGTGAGGTTTGAAAAATTAAACTAAATGCAGAAAATCACAATTTTGTATCTTGCAGCGGAGCTCTTCCATCTTATCTCTCTAGCAATCATTGATTTAAACTAGATTTGTTTAATGGATTTTAAATTAATCACAATTCTTGAAATATATATATATTTATATTACAAAAGATCCAGTGCACTCACCTATCCACTACACAGCAACTTCAATGTTGACAGATTTTTTTTTTTTTAAAACTCCTAGTCCAGGCAAAAATAATGGGGGTTTAGTTACATTATATGATCATACATTGCATAAGCCCGCCACAATGTCAATGTACCCCATCTTTGGCAGGTCCTACACTATTAGCCTAATGTCTGCTCTTATGAGATTAACCTACTTACTTGGGGAAAAAAATCCATCTGGGGCTCTCTGCAGTACAAGGTCAAATAGGGCCCTGGGATGAGGCACCTGTGACAGGGAGGGGTGCAAAACTAAGGAGCTTGCTAGACTCCTAAATATATATATATATGAAACCAGGGGGCTGCACTCACATGAACAAGCATAAATGGGGTGCTGCTGGGGGCCAATTTATACAATACACAAGATCCATCACACTCACCTATACACTAAACAGCAACTTCAATGTTGACAGATTTCATTAGTTTTTTTAAAAACACCTAATCTAGGCAAAAATAATGGGGATTTAGTTACATTATATGATCATAAATTGCATTAGCCTGCCACAATGTCAATGTACCCCATCTTTGGCAGGTCCTACTCTAACAGCCTAATGTCTGCTCTTATGAGATTAACCCACTTACTTGTGGGAAAAATTCCATCTGGGGCTCTCTGCAGTACAAGGCTAAATAGGGCCTTGGGACAAGGCACCTGTGACAGGGAGGGGTGCAAAACCAAGGAGTTGGCTAGACTCCCAAATACATGTATATATATATATATATATATATATATATATATATATATATATATATATATATATGTAAATATTGGCCAGCACTCACGGTCTTGAAGTAAAATGGTACTTTATTGAAAAATCTTAAAATCAACGTTTCAGTCCATGACCAGGGCTTTCATCAGGATCAACAAAGATTTTTCAATAAAGTACCATTTTACTTCAAGACCGTGAGTGCTGGCCAATATTTACACTTTGTATATCATTTTTGGTTGTGGCTATTTATTGCACCCGGCAATTATATTTGCAGAATACTGCTGTGTATACATCTGAGTGCAAGGACTGGACATTTTTGTATATATATATATATATATATATGTATATATATATATATATAATGATAATAATAGTTAAAGGAGAGACACTAAATGTTGATTTTATTCACAGATCAAGTGAGAGGTGATCAACAGAGTGGAAAAGGGTAGAGCGGTAATCAAATATGTATAAAGGTGATATATATTTAATAAATATATAATAAACATAGGTTTCTTTTAATGCTTCTCCTTTTTCCCCCTCTATTGGTTATTTGTCTAACCTATGAACCAAGTGGCACAACAATTCTACTTTTGGTGTACAGCAAAATATTTACGTAATATATATATAAAATAATTGCAAGGACGAAATTTCTCTGAAATGAAACACAATATCAGCGAATCCTAATTTGCCTGAAACTATTTTTTTTCTGAACAAAAGTTCATCATAAACTGTCCTTTGCACCTGTCAATCAGCATGGAGAAAACCGCATTCTGGGACAAGCTATGAAAGGTGCTGGATCATGTGCACAGACCATAAATGCTTAATTTTCAAAACATCTATTCATTTGTATATTTACTAGCATTTAGCTGGCACAATATATATAGAGATATATAGAGATTAATAACAAATACATTAGTAAACTGTATAAATTGTATATGACATATAGAATTTCTAAAGTATGTAGTGTAACACTAGAAATAGACTAATAAAGATGCTTTCTTTATTGTGCAATTTCAGAAAAACATGCTGCTGATTCACTGATCCAATTTAATAATCAAATAAGTAGTATCATCAGAGTTTGTGGTTAATATATATATTTGTGGATAAATGGTCAAATGCATATATATATTTGTTGCATTTGACCATTTATCCACAAATATATATATATATATATATATAATTTTTTAAAATTAATTTTTCTTTTATTTATTTATATTTTAATTTATTTTCTAATATTTTTTATTTACTTGACCTCGTTATATCCCTCATATCCCTCTATTTGTCACTTGATCAACTAGACAACTTGCCAATCGCTCAAACTTTGGATGAATAAAAATTCATTTGAAACTGAATGAAAGTTGCAGAATAAAGAGTTGTGAATTTCTTCATTTAGTTGCATTCTGTTATTTAATCATATTTGTTAAATATAAATATAAATAAACAGAATATTTAAAAAAAATAGGGATATTACAATTCCTCTTAAAAATGGGCCAATGTCATTACGTAATACAGAGTCCTATCAATGCAAGCAGGTTAAACATGACCGCCCCATTAACCATTCATTATTTGAGCCAGATTTATTTCATGTGTATTGATAATTTAAAATTCCAATTAGTATTGTATACAAACTGCTACTGAAACTGTTCAGCCAATAGGCTGTCAAAATGCCATAGGGTGTCAAAACCACCCTCAATCAATAGACTAAATGTCTCTACAATATTAGCCCCTAAGAATAACAGCCCATAAGAATAACAGAATAAAGTCTTACATGACATCCATTGTATTCTATACATTCTGCAAAGCATTCTGGGACAGGCCATGCAGGATGATGGATTGTGGCCAATGCCGGTATACAGCATGCAGGAAGCTAATATTTTGCTTCCTGCATATATTTTTATATATATATATATATATATATATATATAATCATACACTCCTTATACAAAGCTATAGGGTGTCCGGTGCTTGTCAGCCAAGATTCAAAAACCAATGTAGAGATTGCACTTCCAGGAATTGTACAAAATGTATATAAAATAAACTTATTTTTCAATCTTTAAAATAAAACTTTTTCTCTAAATATTGCTGACTGACAGGCGGAGAGGAGAGAGCTTATAAAAATGACTGTAAGGAAGCTAAATGTGACTTCAACATTTCTTTTTATGATATATTTTATTTTTATATTTTTTTGTGTTATTTATAAATAATATTTAAAATGTGGACAATAGCAGTTCCCCACGAATATGAGCCGCCTCATTAGACAATATTGTATACAAACTTACACTGAAGCAGTTCAGCCGACACCCTGTCTTTGTTTACATACCAGTCCTAAAACTACTTTGCCTGAATATGTTTTAGATTACTCACAGTACAATAAGTTAATTTAACTATGATTTACATATTCATTATTAATACAATATAATTATCTGGGCTATTGCTAGTTTAGTCTCTATGGAAGTGTAGATTTGTAATAGGGTTTGAGATACATAACCCCAGGACAAACTATAGGAATGCCCACAGAGTGTCATAATTGTCTTCAATTAATAGACTAAATGTCTATGACATTAAAAATAACAGAATAAGACACATTACATTTCAGAAACAGAGCACTATGTGTTTAAGCGCCAATTTGTGAAAAAAAACCCAATCCAAACATGTATTAAATGAATGCCGATTAAAACATTTACTGTTTACAAATATGCTCATTAAGTAAAATTTACTTTCACAAATAGGCCCTGGTGCACAACTTGTTCCTCATAGTACTCAGTTTGTAACTATTCACCCACCAAAATGAACCTACGGCAATCCATGGCAGCATTGCCATCAATTTAGTTCTATCTATACGTAGACTGTCGTCATCTACTATTGGCCTCGTTTCTGAACATAGTGGCATATTGTTTCAGAAGCAGAGTGTGCAGAGTACTATTTAAGACATAGTGGGTGTTGAGATAGACATTCAGTAGGACATGGACTAGAAGAATAATAACACGTTTATAGAGTATATGACTTTGGAATTGGACATTGCTCAATTGAACATTGAAACCATATACCCCAAATTTTACATAGCCTTGTAATCCCGTTTTCACATTATTTTATCAATTTCTACAAAAAGACTAAGCATGCATTCTTATGTCACTGAATATTTCCAATGTGACATGCACCTAAAATTTACAGTATTTAAATTACAAATCAAAGCATATACCCCAATAAATTGATAATTAGATATTTTAATGGGTAGCTGTCAATGCACCCTAAGTATTTGGAAATGCAATATGTCTTTTGTTCAATATCTATATATTTGATCAATAGTAAATCTAAAACAAATGACCATGAATCCCTCAAAAATCAACTTAAATAACCCAATAAGTTTGGCATTTACTCATAGAAGTATTAAAATCAGAAATTTCCAGAATTGTTAATTAGTGCACTGTTCTATAACACAATGGCAAATGCAAAATCTCAACAGCCTGTCATTAGCATTTGCTAAGTGAGTTTCTATCTCATTGTTTTTTTTTTGTCTAGTGGCCCCTCCCCATTGCTTGGGATAGGTCTGTTTCATAGGACTGCCCACCTTGACATGTTACAAATTCTCATCTCCTACCAATCACTCACAATACCTATTTGCTAACTCTTGCAAGAAGTTCCTGTGTTTTCTGTGCATCTTGTTTCTACAGACAGAAAAACAGACAAAATAATGGCTTCAATGACTGAATTATATCGTAATTATTGGATTCTGGCTGATGCTAAGGAGGAGGATCTGCCCAAAGTAAGGCTAAGACTCCCTTAAATGTCTATTTTCTTAGAAATCTTCTTTGGTCCACCTACCATAGGTTTTCTATATTTTTATCTCCTGGGTCTTAATAGAGCTTGAACTTTTATTATTTATTATAAAGTAGCTAACTATTGTTTTGTTAGCTACTTATGCCAATAACTGTAGCTAAATCCAAATTGGAGCTGGATATTAAACATATTTAATCAAACATTGGAAGAAACAGAGAAAGACTATACACAACTCTAAAACATTGAATACAGAACCAATGAATGTCCATGCTGCTAAATACACTTACTGTATAGTAGAAAAGCTGCTATAATTTAAACATTTTTGTCCTCACAACTTCCATCTTCATGCTGACATTGTTCCCTGTTTTGTCTCTAAGTTCATGTTCTTATCCTTTTTCAGCACAAACTTTCATATAAAGCAATTTTGGATGGCGCCTGTGGAGGACAAAAGGAAAGGAAGATAGCAGCCCGATTGATCCCCAAGTTCTTTAAGTTCTTCCCAGACCTATCCGCTGATGCTTTCTATCTCCACCTTGATTTATGTGATGACAGACATATTTCAGTAAGTAATCCAATCATGGTTAAGTGTGCTTTTCCTAGTTTTATAATGTTTGGAACCAAATAATTTACTGTATATGCTGTGTATTAACCCCTTAAGGACACAACTTATGGAATAAAAGGGAATCATGTGTCCTTAAGGGTCCTTAAGGGGTTAAACAATGTAATTTCATAAACAATGTAATTTCATAATGAATTCTGTATATTGAAACATGTTTAGTTCTGGGGAAATTAAATACAGCTTGCAAAATTTAGACAAAGTCTATGGGATAAGTTTTATTGCTAAATTATGCAGCACAATTTAGTGTTTTACAAATAGGTCATACAAACTGTCCCTTTTAAAGTTCTCCATCTTATTTTTGTTTTATAATTTTTTCAAATGGTTGATACAATTAAATACAGGATTGTTCAACTGACTTTTGCAAGAAATTCAAAGTGAATCTCCAAATTAGTTCAAATTAGCCAATTTAGAAAAATGTTTCAAGTCAATTCTGTGTTTTAGTCTGCGATTTGAAATTGAATTTGAATTTACAAATAAAGGATTATATTTTATCAATCTCTTTATCTCTCATCTTCTCTTAACAAATATTGCAATGTGTGCACAAGGAAATAAATAGTTACAGATAAGAAATGCTAATTGGCTGTTTTTGTCTTTTTTTTTTTTACCAGGTTCGCCATCAGGCTATACGAGGACTGTTGCACTTTGCGACAAATGAAAATCTGCACAATTTGGCTGATGTCCTGGTGCAGTTATTAAAGACAGGTATGATACAAAGACTGCACAAGCTCACCATTTTATAATGAGATGTGGTCTTTCAGTGACTAGTGAATTGTGTTGAAACTACAAATTGTACTGACAAGTTTATACCAAAATAGTCAACCTGTAAAAATACTACAACCACGATTTGCTGATTTGGTCTAATTTTGCAGTTGTTTTTTTAGTACCTAAAATAATGAGTAAACCCCTGTATTTTATTCTCATTAAATAAATATTCCAGGCACCATAAACACTAGAACATACTGTTGTATTTATAGTTCCAGAAGCACATTAGCACCCCCTTCTACCATCATTTTAAGAATTCAAATAATTTGTTTTACTTTTTACCTGGATCTGACTTGTATCCATCACTGTATTTCCAAACAAATGTCACTAAGCAGGAACTTCTGTTAGCTCACCTGACCTAAGCAATGGTGCAAACATTATGTTAAAGTAACTAATATTTTCTTTCTTTTAGGTGACGTGGCTGAATTTGACTTGGCAAATAATGCTTTGTTGCACATTTTAAAAATAGATGCCAAAGGTAAGCAGAATCTTTATATTTCTATACATATTCAAATAAAGTGACGATTCAAAATTTATATATATATATATATATATATATATATATATGCCATTGAGTAAGTTAAGCGAGTTATTTCAGGGATTTAAATATGTATTTTGGGATTCTTTGTGAGTAGTACATTATAATGAAACTCTCAAAAACGTAAAATGTGTCTAAGGCTTAACTGTTACATTTTGCAATTTTTATTTTGTGTTTCTTTCAGAATCCTGAAGACAATGTTATTATTATATTTTCACAGGCACATTAAAAGAGATCATTCATCATATTTGTAAAGGAAAGAAAATTGTACGAAAGCGCGCCATCAAATTTCTTTCATTCAAGCTGCCGGAGGAAGTGATGACGAAAGAAGCCGAAGAATTAATTCTGTTTAATTACGAGAAGGTGAGTTTAAAAATATGTTGGTAAAATATGAGATCTAGCATAATTCAATTTCAGTAGACCTTATCTAAACTATTTCTGGTCTAATGTCTACTTACAGATTTTGAACGTTGTCAGTGGAGAAGAATTGTATTTGTTTGTAAAGTTCCTTTCATCTTTACATATAATGCAAAATGACAAAGGTAACCAGCTGCTGGTGGATCTCATGTTCAAAGAAGCTGATCTGCATGAAACTATAAATTACGACAGTCTTGATTCTGCATACCACCTGATTAAGTGTGCACAACAGGTCGTCCCTCTCTTTTCGGTAAGTTATATGTGCTCCTATACATAATGCAGAGTTGTTATTAATTAATATATTTAATTACTCATACTGATTTACACAATTTTCTTTGTAGGAAAACGTCCACTCCAATAAATTTGTGACTCATTTCTGTGAGAAGATTATTCCCATATTGGGCTACTTATACAGTCTAAAGGATGGCAACGATGTCCAGCTTGAGGTATGTATTGTCTAATATCTGGTCATAACTACTTTTATAATTATTAGTATTCAGCCTTATCTGTCAGAACAGTATAGATGAGTGCTAGTATTTTGGGCATCTATGTCTATATCAGATTGACCAAACTGGAGCATGATTTAAACCTATTGCTATGTTATTGTCTCTGTAGGTGCTGAAACTGTTGGCAGAAATGAGCAGGTTCTATGGAGTAAACGAAAAAGTCGAATACTGTATGCTTACAGTTTTTGATACATTACTGGTATGTATGTTTCACCTTTATATTTTTTACTACATGGCCCTCAGAGATTCTGTAATATGCTACCTTTTCCATAAACACGTGATGGTGTCAAAGCTCATGGTTCATTTTTAGTGAATTTGCATCTTTCTGTGTTTTTTTTGTACAGAATTACTTGCCTCCTCCCCCTGAAGATACAGACGGCAATGAAGACATTCAACTGCATTTCAGTCGTGTTGAATGTTTACTCTTTGTATTGCAACAGCTAGGAAAAAAACTTCCAGACTTTCTCATCATGAGAGTGCATGGAGATAAACTCGCAGGTTTTAAAATAAGGTAAGTTGTTCATTAATTCTGTCAATATAGTGCTAATGCCACTATAATATGATTAAATTCCAGTTTGTATTTATACAACATGGCAAATGAGGAGCTTACTAACATCACTCGTCTCTTACAGGTTACAATACTTTGCCGAAAACCTTCAAGAATTCATTCAGCCATTGCGTCTGGCTTTGGAAGAAAATTCAGAGGAATTTATAAAACCTGAAGAGGTAAAAATCATGGTATTATAAACTCTGCATTATCTGTTTATTTAGACCAACATTATGGCACACACGTCGCATTCTAACCTGCTTGGTTTACCACTAAGTTATCTGGAAATGTCACACTTCTGAACTGCAGGGGTACTAATGTTAGCCCACAAATGTTAGCTGCAGTATGTACGATAAATTACAATTATTTAATGTTTTTGGTCTTTTCTATTAAATTGTATTACAAATATGCGGTTAGCCTTCTACAATATAACACTAACATATAAACTACAGGTACTTGAATATCTTGCTGCTGCTGACATAAAGCTACATATGGCATAAGCTCAGCAGTGATATTGAAGTTTATTGAGATGAGACACTTGGTAATGCAAATGGTATAATCCAGCCCAGCCTGCCCCTTTACCTGAATTTTCTTATAGCAATCCGAATGATTGTTTCTCTTGTTCAGTCTGGTGAAAGTATATATTTGATCAAGTTTGTATCTATCTGTTCTAACAAAATAGTTTTATCTGTATCTTTTGCAGTGGGAAATCAGAAGAGAGGTCTTAAGAATGAGCAACATTGAAACATTGATAAAGGTAAGCATTAGACCCCACTCTATTTTTATCTGTTTAAATGTTCTTAATTATTCTTTCATTACAAAATTGTCCTTTATATGTGACTGCACAAAAATCTAAAAAATTTTGTTTTTTATTTTCTTGTAGGATTTGACTAGCTTTCCCCCATCCTATAAAAGCCAGGTGACACTTTCTTGGACCCCAGAGATAGAATCAGAGATTGGGTAAGTGTGCGGTCAACAACATTTTTTTAATTCAGGTTAAAATTACATTTTTGAATTTCCAATACTGAAGGAACAAAAGTTGAAATTCAATAGCAACACATAGAAAATATTTATACTATATTTTGATGAAATAATTGTTATAACTGAGGGATAAGTGCTAAGCAAATTACCAAATGTACATGGGCAAACATCAGAGGTGTCAGATTGAAAAACAGGAGCCCCTGATGGAATTGTGGTTAAATAGATAAATGATCGATGGGCAGTCTGTTAGAAACTGGTACTGCCAAAAAAGGCACTCACTTATTTTAATGTGATGTATTATCAATAATACTAATAATGATAGTAATAGTGATATGTATTTATTTTAAAATGTTATTGAAATGGTAAATCTGCAAAAATTCTAGTTTGTAGAGATGAAATTGACATTGACACATGGTCTTCTTTTCCAGACACAAACGAAAGCTTGAAATGTCTGCTTCTAAATCTCCCCCAAAGAAGCAGAAAACACATTCCACTACATGAAAAATATAGAAGTTCCCTTGGCAATAACCCATGTGGTAAGTTGATTGAATCATGACATGTCACTATAATAACTCGTTTTGCCACGTATTTATAACTTCAGTTGTAAACTTTTATGGGATAATTTATTACAGTCAGGCAATTAAAGTCAATTTAAAATTATTTTTTTCTTGAGATTTCAAATTCACTTTGGATTCCCAACAATCCTCACGTTAGCAAATAATTTGTACATAAAGTGAAGGAAAGTACCTATATTGATATTCTTATTAATACATTGAAATACAAAACTGGTGGCAATCATTTATGTAAATTATTATTATTATTATTATTATTATTATTTTTTTTATGAGTCTCTGCAATAGTTTTTGTTGTGATATAGGCTTTAGTTTTTGGATATACTTCTCAACTGAAATTAATTAGGCTTTTCTGAACGAAACTCAAATGGTTCAGCCTACACTGAATGTCAATTAATTAAGAGTAGTTTAGTAAAAATATATATTTATATTGTTATTTTATTAGATTTACTAATCTGTTTCCTTGTGTCCCCCCAGGAAACCAAGAAAAATTTTTTTTAAAACAATCTTGAGATAAGGGTCTTTTGAAGAGAAAGTGGAAGCATCTTAAGAAAACTCAGCACTTTTAATTTTAGAGGATAATAATTGTTTGTTTTTATTTATTTTAGTGTAAAAATAATAAATGGTTTACTTATATTAGAACGTTTTCTGTTGTTCTCTCCTTATTTTTAACACTAGTGGTTTATACACACATGGAAGTAACATTTCATTACGGCATGCACCCAGGAAAGTTTTTAATAAAAGTTTTACATTTATTGATTGCTAACTCATATTGAACATTTAATTTTATTAAATTCTTTTTTTAATACATGAAAATGAAAAATAATTTAACTACTCTTTACAAACTTGCAGGAGTGTAAAAATACAAGTGGTAAAAATAACTAATTGCTCAAGATCAAGTCATGCATGTATAACAAATACATAAATACGAATATTAGTGCAACAAGTCAAATGTCTGTAAAGGGTTAATTATAGATTTGAGTGGACACCTGGATGTTCAGGTCTGGCGGGTTTGGCTGATCTTCGAAAAAAAGTCCGGGTTCGGGATCGAACTTGACCCCGAACTTGACTCCGAACCTGAACCCCATTGAAGTCAATGGGCACCCGAACTTTTAGGCACAAAAATGGCTATAAAAAGTCCTGGAAATGGCTAGAGGGCTGCAAAAGGAAGTAAAATGGGGGTAAGAGTAGGACAAGTGTCCTGCAAACAAATATGGATAGAGAAATCACTTAAAATAACATAAAATACATAAAATAAGCAGCCATTTAGTAGATAACTCCCTAATTCCTACGGTATTAGGGAGCTATCTACCAAAAGGCTGAAAGACCTAAATTGGTCTTTTAGTCAAATTTACTAATACTAAGTAAAGATTACTTAGTATTAGTAAATTCAGCCCCTACTTGTTATACCGCGAGTAGGGGCATGTCTAGTAAACAGTGAGCAGCCAATGGCTGCTCACTGTAAAAAACAAACAAAAAAAACCTATTGCCCCCATCCCTGTGAGACGGGTGGGGGCCTTAAATAAGAATGTGGAGGGGGGGGACCTACAGTCTTGCCCCATCCTGCAATTAGGCTCAGAGCACTCTGATTGGTGGGTTTAAGCCATCCAATCAGAGTGCTCTGACAGGTAAATTAAGAGACTGACAGGTAAGTCTCTACATTTACCTGTCACAACACTCTGATTGGTTGGCTTGAAATCCACCAATCAGAGTGCTTTGTGTCATTTTACACAGTGTGGGAAAGTTCTTTGTTATGTCATATGTTAGATTAATATTTGATTAACTAGCTGTAGAAAATGTAACATATGCTCAAGAAAAATGATCAAGTATAAAACCTATGACCATACATAAATATGCAATGACAAGATATTGCCCCATAATTCTTAAGATGCGGAAAACATACTTAAAGTAGCTAAGCAGAAATTACATCATAGGAGTACTTGAAAGTTCCACTAGAGGTCAGTGTTCAAGTTCGCAAAACCATAATGCTAATTTGGAGCTAATTTGGATGAATTTTGGGAACCACCGTTGCAGTTAAATAGTGTTCGAATGTACAGCACGAACGCTCTATCCGGCCATAGGGCTTTCGTGGTACCTTGGATTGATTCAACCGAACTGAGTTAGTTGGAAAATAGATGATCCGGCAGTAATTTAGAAACCCGAGAATGCCTTTTGTGTGAATAAGTCGAACTATAATGGTAATCGTATGATTGCACAAATCCGAAAGTTTGCAAATTATTTTTTAAGCTAAACTGTTCGTGAGTTTTGAAAACTAATAAAATTAGATGAAAAACTATTCGAAATTGTTATACAAATGGACAAAGCAGGGAATAGACCCACACCGAGATGACTGCAACCTTGGCACAACAGCTGGGTCAGTATCTTACGATTTGGAGAGTGCTTCCGGGTCAGTCTGTAGTGAGCTGGAGCCTCGGAGGGGTGAAGAGAGGGCCATTTCCATCAAGAAGTATTGTGGTCAGTTGAATCTGAGGGGAGACAGCTGTATAGGCAGCAACTACGTGGAGACCAGGTTAGTTTGAAAATGGCAACTTGCATGTGACTGCAAGTAGCCACATGCAAATCACTAAACCCGAAACGATACAGGGGAAAGTGAGGAGTCCCTTTAAAAAGGTAAATAAGAACCTCTGACAATTGCAGACAAAGCCTTAATATATATTTATAATAGATATATATATATATATATATATATATATATATATATAAAATCAGTAAGCATTGAAGTTGCTGTTTAGTGGATAAGTGAGTGCGCTGGATCTTGGGTATTGTATAAATTGGCCCCCAGCAGCACCCCATTTAGGTATGTTCAGGTGAGTGCAGCCCCCTGGTTTCATATATATATATATTAGAGAGTCTAGCCAACTTCTTTGGTTTTGCACCCCTCCCTGTCACAGGTGGCTCATTCCAGGGCCCTATTTAGTACTGCAGAAAGTCCCAGATGTCCCAGATGGAATTTTCCCCCCACGTAAGTGGGTTAATCTTATAAGAGCAACATTATGCTGTTAGAGTAGGACCTGTCAAAGATGGGGTACATTGACGTTGTGGCAGGCTTATGCAATGTATGATCATATAATGTAACTAAACCCCTATTATTTTTGTCTAGATTAGTTTAAAAAACAAACAAAAAAAACTAATATTAGTCAACATTGAAGTTGCTGTTTAGTGGATAGGTGAGTGCGCTGGATCTTGTGTATTGTATGAATTGGCCCCCAGCTGCACCCCATTTATGTATGTTAAGGTGAGTGAAACCCCTTGTTTTTTTATTTATATATATATATATATATATATATATATATATATATACTGCTCCTCCTGTTTTTCCCTGTATTGGTTATTTTTTTCAGTTGATCGTTGAACCAAATGACAGGAACAATGGTGTCACAAACATTTGTAGATCTTTGGGAAAAATGATTCGACAACTAAAGTTTCTCACTGAACAAAAGTCTAATTATTATATAACTGAGTTGAAAAAAAATAGAACTTAGTTTTATAATAACATTGGCACAGTAGAACTAATTTTATTTAAGATAGTGAATTCATCCAAAAACAAAATGAAAAGTTCAGGAAAATTACTCCTGCTACTGCTGCTCCCCCTTTTTTCAAAAGTCTTTCATTATGGTTGCCCTTCTTGGCTGAATCTTTCAGTGTGACAAACTTGCTACTTCAGCAGACTCGATTGGGAGACGCTGATAGGACACTGTTTTTGTACACACTGAAGTACGACAACTTCTATTTCTCAGGAAATCGCGAGTGGACATTGGGCTGAGTTCACGTGTGCAGTAAACTGGAGCCACACATTTTGTATATTAGTGAGGGAGGAATCTTCAAAGCACTAGCAATGGCACACAAGCACAGTGCAAAGTAAATAATCCATCTCTTACTAAAAAGAAAAGAGAGATTATGACATACTGACTGCACCCGACCGGGCACCTCCGTCAATCGCTGCTTTCTAGTACTGACGAGTACCATAAGCACTGCGCTGGAGCACCATAACCACTGCAAACCCCACTAATTGCTGCAGCTTGGTTGGGGTCTCGCCGTCTCCTACCCACCCTGGACCTATGACAAGGCTCCAGGTTCCAGTGGGGGAACCTTTCTCGCTCCAGAGAGTCAAGCAGGAACAGCTCTTACAAGAGCTTAGTGATTATAATCAGGGGAGTATAGTGATTATAGCAATCCCCAGAGTGTATTTCTCCAATCTCACAAACATGAGCCTAAACTTCATGAAGGTGCAAGATGATCTGAGAGTTTAATGGTACAGGTTGGATTTTTATACAACTTTTCAGGCCAGAGGAACACCCACTAGATCTGATGGGGCACAGGACACAAATCGTACATACCAATAGAAACAATGTAACAATGCATGACACTCCAACATACAGCACACAATCCC